AGAAAAGCTAGAAGTGTTGACAGATACCTGGTAAAGAGGAACTTGGGGGCGTTATAACCTGAGAAGCCAGCAGAAGGAGTTTGGGAATGTGGGATAATATTGGGTGGATATTTCTGCTCACACAATCAAGCAGCTAACTCACTGAAGTTATTTGAATTTTTAAATTTCAAGTAAACAATCACACTGAGCTTATTAGTACATGTCACTGAAGTTCTTTTTGCACACTGACTGCAGATTTACTGTCCTTTTTTATGATTCTCTGAAAAATAAATACATTCTGGAGCTTCTCTTACCTACCATGCTCCCTTGTCCCATATAGATGCCTTTCTCCAGTCCTATTATAGCCCACAGTGCCAGGCCTACCACGTCTTGTGGGAGATGGCTGCTTTTGCTGGTCATTTTCTTCCCTAGAATTTTTCTAGTAACTTCCAGATGTTTGGCAGCCAGGGCAGAACAGGAACTCTGAGCAGGCTGCCAAACATCTACTAATGCACAGGTTTGCTCTGTATTTTATGGGCACTGTGATTCTTCAGAATACCTTCCATCTTCTTCACAAAAGCCATGCAGTTTAGCCAGATATGCTCAGAAATTTGTCAGGTTTGCAATGCAAGAATTTTAGTGCATACACGTTACCGAGTCATTCTGTAGACAAGCAGAAAGTTTAAAGTGTCCAGGACATATCTGAATTGACATACACATGTAAAGATCCAGCATGCCTTAAGCACATGTTTCCTTCTACCTTTGGAACTTGAGATGGTGACTGGGAGGTATGAGAGTACCTGTGTGCCTCTGAAACGTGTTTCTTGCTTTGAAAAATCCCAATTAACTATGTAGGTAAGGAAGAACTGGGTTAACACGAGAGGCTTAAGAGATCTACCTAGGAAGGATTTTCAAACACGGCATAGTCTTCGTGGCAGCTAAGCTGCAGTATGTCAAACAAGAGGAGGTTTGGAGCAGGAATCCAAGTAACAACTTCTAAGTAGATTCAACAGAACCAAGGGCTGGGCTGTTGGTCTCTAGCTGGTTTAGTCACTGATGACATTGTACGGGGTTGCACTATTTTAAGCATTAGCCGTAATCTCATGTGTTTCTGACTATGGCTTTCAGTCATCCTGCTAGTTTGATAATGCAGGTTCTTCTTTCTGTACTATGCAACATATTCACTGTATTCTGAAACATTTGTTCAGAATACTTGTTGTATAAAAAATAAAGTAAAATTAGAAAGCTTCAGAAATGTGCTGCCAGCTGCACAGTGCACAAATCTCACAGCTTTTCCTTTTGACTGTCCTCTTTTTTTTTTTTTTTTTTTTTTTTTTTTTTTTTTCCAAATGGTATTCTGCATTTTCTGGTCTTGGCTTTTTACCAGTGGAATTATTTAAATCTTATCTTTTCTTTATGAATTACAAGTTAAGCATTAGGAGTACTTTTTAGTATAATTATAGATACAGCATGATAACAAGGAATTCATTGAGAAACTCTAAACTCCCCCAAAGCTTCTTGAAACTATTTGTTTTCATTATTCTTCAAGGTTTTCAGCAGACTCTGGTTGAATAAAAGGAGGCGTATGTAGCATTTACGTTCAATTTTTATTTAATCCATATAATGTCCTCACAAATTTCTCAGAGATGTATGGACTCGCTCTCATTTCCTACATATAATCTTCCCCAAATCATTTATATTTGAATAAGGAAAATTCATCTACCCACTTTGCAACAAGGCAGCAGGAGCTATGTGCATAGTTAAGATTCACTGACTGGTCTCTACAGGCAAAGATTGTAAAGGCCTGAATCAAAGTTCAGCACGGTCAATGAGATGCTCCAATTTAATTCAAAGTACTTGCCTTTAAGCAGACGACTTGCACAAGATGGTGGCTGACACAAGTAGATCATAACTTTCCCAGTTCCCAAATTATTGATTCACTTTCTATTAAACCCCAATGTAATGTAATGTAAATTCACTTTATTTTATTTTAATATTTTATTTTGTTTTAATATGTGCAGTTGCCTTTTAGCTAATTTAGAATACTTCAGCTTTGGCTAGTGTCACATATTTATTAGGCTCCTGCTGCCATGTACCTATCAGCATCTGAAACCCATGCTGACTTCTTCCATTACAAACTTTTACAGATTTAAATACAGAAAAGACGATTCTAACCATGAGGTCTGTGCCAAAATTATGTATCAATACAGTCACAGATTTTCATCCAGTACATCCTACCACAGACTCCTAGTTACTCCAAGTCAGACTATATACACTAACAAGGCATTTTAATCCAGGGAAAATGTTGGGTTTGGATTTATTTTCCCTGCCTTTGGTTAGGTGAGACATAGCTTTGTGTAGCCATTCTTCCACGGTCATTGCAGACAAAAGGAATTCTCTGTTTCATCCCTCCATTAACAATTCTAATTTATGCAAAACAGAAGATATAATTCTGGAAGAAATGCCATTATGATTCTGTCATCATGTTGTGAAGTCCCAGAGACCTGAATCTGCCAGCAGAGAATGAATTATTGTCCTGTAAAAGGCAGAGGACCATTGGCATGGCATGGTCCTCAGCACAGTTTATATTTGAGGCTCAGCTGTTTCTTTCCTTAAGGACTATGCGGAAGGTACTGATCATTCTGTGTTGCCCCTTATATGGGTGTTTTAGCATTCCAGGCCAAAATATCCAGGTCAAAATATCTGTTTAAGATATAGGAAGCATCATGAAAAACTATAGTGAATCATGTCTAAGATGGTGATTCATTTCTTAGTGTGAAGCCCATATCATCTTTTTATCCTCTTCTAATGTGCATCTGAAAAATGCCAGTCTTCATCTCTACCACTGGTTCAACTAAATCTTTGACTGAAACCCTCGTCCACAATCATCTCTCTTATTACTTATTGTAATTTCTTTTACTTTTTTGTTTGGTTGGTTTTTTACACCTTTATTTACTTCCTTGCTTTGACTTCAGTAAATGCTTGTGTGTTACACATTGCTTTGGTCTGGAAGTTAGAGAAGAGGGGAATGAGACTGGCAGGTAGGAAATGGAAAGAACAGGTAAAGATGAGAAAAAAATTACATGTAAATGCTCTAAATTGTGTCAGCCTGATGTAACTCACTTAACCATTCTCTACTAGTTCTCTGAAATATCTGCTTCATTCCATCTCTAAGGAGTGTTTCAGTGTAGTAAGAAAGAAAATGACCAAACAGACAAATGGGAAGAAAGGAGAAACCAAAAAAGCAGGGTGTCAAAAAAATGGAACCAGCCTCTTTTCAGTTGTGCCTAGTGAAAGGACGAGAGGCAATGGGCACAAACTGAAGCACAGAAGGTTCCAGCTGAGTATGAGGGTACACTTCTTCACTGTGAGGGTGACAGAGCACTGGGACAGGTTCCCCAGAGAGATTGTGGAGTCTCCTTCTCTGGAGATAATCAAAAGCTGCCTGGATGCCATCCTGTGCAATTTGCTCTAGGTGATCCTGTTTGGCAGCGGGGTTGGACTGGGTGATCTTCAGAGGTCCCTGCCAACCTTGACCATTATTATATCTGTGATTATATATATGTGATTCTGTGCACATTGTAGGATGAACGTGTGCCCTGCCACGTTTGGGGTGTAGCAGGATTTTAGTTATATAACAAAGGTACTTGTGCTGAAGGCAACCAAATACTGGTCCCCTGCCAGTTACATAGGGGAGGGAAGTCAAAGCATTGCAAAGAGTTTCAGCTTATTCAGAATCTTGTGTTCTTGTCTTGCTGCTGCTGCTCCAGCCCAAGTTGCTGTAAGGTGATTGTGTTGTAAGGTGGGTGGCAGACGGTCCTGAAAAAGGCATCACCCAGCACCCTCTGGCAGCTGGGAGAACCTGGCAAACAGGGCTCTGAAAAAGCCTGGCCTGTGCCTGGCACTGTTCAGTGTTTGAATTTGGGGCTTTGGTTACAAAGCAGAAAGGATATTCACTAAATTTTAATGACCCTTGAACAGAAATTGCAGGAACTGTGAAGCCTAGGATCAGGAAAATCAAAGAAAAAAAAAAAAGTAACAAACCAGAGAAATGGTCTGGAAAGAATAGGAAGCTGCTCACAATGGAAGGATGTGAGATATTGTTTTTAAGAATAATTAGCTGCAGAGAAAGATGATGAAGTAAGATAACGAAGTGTTACTGGCAGGCAGTATGCCCCTCAGATAAGTGTCTAGGTGTGGCACAGCACCATAAACTGAAAATCCAGCACTGTCACAGCTTTGTGTGACATCAGGTACCATTGCAGCCATCACAATGGGGTGTGGAAACAGCTAGTATAAAAGACACATGAAGTTTTAATCAGCGCTGATAAGACCTTGGCTGGAGTACAACATGCACTTTAGGGCACCTCACTCAAAGAAAGACCAATAACAAGCCAGGGTAGAGCCATGTAATTGAGCCATGTAATTTTCAGAGCTATACAAAATGGGACCCATGAGGTAAGATTGGAAGAATTCATTTGTTTAGTCTAGCAGTAAATGACTGAGGGAAGATATGATAGCAGTTCTCATACACATAAACTAGTTGCAAAGGAGATATAAACTGTTCTTCATGCCTACAGATCCAGCAAGAAGTGACAGCCTTAAATTGCTGCTTGAAGACTTAGGTTGTTTTTTTACGAAATGCTTTTGAACTGAAAGGAATGTTATGCGGCAGCTTGCTGAGGGGAGGTTTGAAGAATCATCATCACTGCAAATTTTCAAGGTCAGGTTAAACAAATATCTGCCAGGAGCTGATTAGATAGAGTTGATTCTGCTCTGAAGCAAGAGGATGAACTGGAAAACCCTTTGAATCTTTTTTAAAATCATGAAATCATGTCTGGAGTCTGCAACTCCATTGTCCCCACTATTTAATTGGCCTGAAAAAGAAGTAAAAAAATGTACCAGTGTCACCTCTCCACGTTTTTTTTAAGTTAAACATTTATTTTCTCCTACCTGTTAAATCTCAGTATTGCTTTATCTAGAACTAGGACATTTCTGGTGGAAGAGCAGTGAAATGTACATGGAGCTGGAAAGTTATATTTATTGAGGTCATTTGATTTTATGTTTTGTAAATACCTAACTTAAATCACAGGAGCAGTTGGGATTAAACAAACAAACAAACAAAAACTTTGTTTATAACTACTCATTTTGCTTAGATGACAGGAATGGCAGGGACAAGAACCCTTTATGTATTTTTTTCCTTTGTTGGAAACATCTCTTACTGTTGCCCTGTAAACCACTATTGTCTCTGTCAGTTTACACACTCTAAACTCCCCAAGTTCTCCCAGTGACACAGGTGCTCTGACATTAGCATTTAGTTTCCTTTCAGCAAGCCTTGAAAACACGACCAGAACCCAGCTTGGTGAAACTAGGGGGAATAGCACTTGAAATTTCCACTACTTTTATGATTAAACATAAATAGTGGAGTTAAACATCAGTAAGAGAACACCACTCCCTCACTCCATTTTCCACAAAGAAGCAAATCACTTGATATTTCTACCCCCAAATCCATAAATTTGTGGTTTCTAAAAGCTTCCATGTGAAGAAGCAGAAAGCTTCCAATTTAGAAGCAATCTTTGCTTCCATTTTACAGATAGTTTTATCCTCTGCTTATGTGGTTTAACTATTTTTAATAAAAATTCTTTCATTAATTACCACCATTATTTTTTAATCTGATTCCAAAAGTATTTTCAATGGAAGGAGCTTACCTTTGTGCAGCCCTGTGCTGTATTCCTGAGTCAATTGTGATTTTTTTTTAAGAAAAAAAATTATGCCAGAATATGTAAAGAAGCATCAATCATCTTTAAAGTTATAAGCAACATACAGAATAATCACAACCCTTTTGGAAAAGAAAATGACACTACTAATTACCTTGGGAAAAAAGCCTTAAGTTACCTTCACAGAGTTTATTGCCAATAAAGCACCATCAACAATTATTTATGCATTTTAGGAAACAATTGTGTGGTTCTGTTCTAGTTTTGCAAGCACTAAAAGGTTCCATTCAGATGCGTGTTTTCCAGTGACATCTATGGGTTTTTTCTTTCTGCCACCCAGTGAACCAGCTGTGTTGACTGATGTCTGAGAAATCAAGTTCAGTCCCAGAATAAATCCTTTGTAGTCTATTTAGTTGCAGCGAGGACCCATTTGACCCACGGAGCTCTGGAAGGTCACGCAGCCTGTCAGTAGCTCAGACAGGATTTAAATAGAGGATCCTCCCGAATCCCAATTCAAAGGAGCTGCTTTTGACATCATCATCGTGTCTACACATTCAGAGTGACATTTTCTCAAATGCCACTCAGCATTGCTCATCTGTTGGCACACCGAAACGCGACCTTCCTGGCTCTAGTCGCATGCCCTCATTCTTCATTTACATTTATTTATAACCCTCTCCTCTGTTCAAAGCCAGCTGTTAAAATCAATGCAGATTTCCTTTCCCTCTCCCCACGGGAGCTGTGGATGAAGATGTGAAGATGAGGATTCAGCCTCATTTCAGTAGGGAGGTGTCGGTACTGGGATCAGCCTTGGGAGCCCAGTAGCTTCCATCAGTGCCATAGCAGCAGCTGAAAGCATCTTCCTGTAGCACACAGCATGCCCGTGTGGGGTGCTGACAATTATAACGCTCCAGTTATCCGAAAGAGCCTCGCTGAACGTAGTGGTTTGGTACAGGATTTCTTGAAGCCTCTTCTAATCCTTATTTCTATGATGCATCTATAATAAAGCTGCAAAACAGTTTGGACAGGCAAGAAAAAGGATGGTCCTTCACAAGCAATCTCAAGGAAGCTTTGACTTTTCTCACTGTTACACACCTTCTTTCTAATTCATGACTGTTTCGCCTACATTAAACTTACCAAACCTAAAAAGTCATTATTTTTTCTTGTTTTTTTATTTTTTTCATTGTAATTTAAAAACTAACTTATTTTGAATTACACAGAAGTTCTCAGTTACACTACTGCCAGCATTAGCTGATTTTAATCCTCGAAAGGACAGCAATTTGAAGGGCTTTCTGTGGATTAGGAAATCAGAGCATTCCCTTGTCTCCTAGTAAAGGCAGACAACTCAGCTACATTCCAATTCTTACTGTGAAGAAACCTGGGATTTCTTCATATCTGTCTTTTTCCATGCAGCCTGGTTTTCACAGAAAGCAAGCATTAAAAAATTTGTGTTTGATGGGATCTAAACAACGATCCAAAGGCATCTGTTCTGCTCAGTCAAGTGACCAAGGCTTCAAAACATGCAACAGAGCACCTCAAAAGTAGGTCTAATACAGCCACAGCTATTTAAATTCCTATTATTTTCTCCAATGTCGGTAGCTGGACAGTGGAACGAGACACAAAATAATCCCTGAGTATGGAAAAAGTAGGTGGAAAACAGCAGTGTGTTGTGCTTAGCATGAGCCAGATGACAGTGGGCACATGTGCTGGCCAGCCAGCTTGTGCATACGGCTAACTGGATTAGCCACAGCTCCGCTGTCTCTTGCCCAAGCAGAACAGGGAGAGGTGGGCTCAGGTTATTGCATTGGGAGGCTGAAACTACAGAACAAAGTCTAAAATCAAACAGAAAACCCAGCTTCCCAAGTTTCATTCTTTCTGAAAGAGCCTGCTTCTGTGCAACTCCATGTTTCTGTTGTCTTTCTGTAAGTGCTGTAAAAGTCTGTAAGGGGGGCTCCAGCTCTTCCATAACCATCACTGGTTTTATTCTGCATTGTTGTCAGAGGCATTACACCAGCTCTGTACTCAAAAACAAGACAGACAATGATTTCAAAGTCGCTCCAATCCCAGGCTCCTAGAAATATGTCACTAGTAGAAAATAAATGCCTACAAGCCTCCAACATAGCCTGTCTGTAAGGCTTGAAAGGTGTTAGGTTCAGACACGAGAAAGAAGAGTTTTAATGCTCTGTAGCTTTATAGGCAGCTCTTGTAAATCACGTAGAATAAAGAGATGAACTGACTGGTCACACTCCCAAGATCAGCTCATCACTGTCTTGGTGCACCCCCGAAATCACTAGGAGAGCAATCTATTTAGGACGCTGCTGCTGAAAACCCAACCTATGCACCCTTTTAGCAACCTCTTCAGGCAGTCTAGATATTCCTTCTGCAGATGTATGCAGCCTGGAACACCCCTTCCAGTGTATTTCCACCATGAAGTATGTAAGAGTATATTCTTCCACATTCTTATACCATGCCTCCTTCCCTTTCTACACACCTTATCTTGTCCCTCTCCAAGTGCTCTGTAGCTCTTCCTGTGCAGCTAGCCCTCCTAATTTGCAGGCTGGCCATATGCTAACCAAGCAGGATGGATTTTTCTCCCATGTTCAGAGCCATAAAGGCAGCCAGACCATCTTAAGGACCCAGGACCCTTTGCTCCTCTGCTGATGAGGGTTGTCAGATGACAAATATCTACCTCATATTAACCCACTTGCCCTCTGGTGAACAAAGCACAGACTTAGGGGCAAATATTTCTTACAGCCACATGGAGAGAAGAAGGAAAGGAAGGACCTGTTAAGACATAAGTGCAACATAAGGTTCATTATATGTACAGACAGTGATCTGGTCACTTAAGGAATGAAACTAGAGGGTATGGTTATGAGTTTAGCAACTGCCAACATTCACATTCAAGCCATGGCACTATATGTAAGAAATATTCCCTTAAATAAAAGACACTTGCAGGCTCAACCCATTATAGTGTGAGTCTAAAATGAATATTACAGGGACCCCTTTCAGTAGTGCGTGTAGACACAAATCAGTTTGTCATCATCTTGCCTACTGTGAAAACAGCACAATGCTTTACAATTTCTAATTCATGCTCCTAACTTAACCCTGTTAGGAGCTACCCTATATATTCTTATTGTTCTTTTCATTTCCCTCCCTGGTACATGCACAATCCTTTCTTCCTGTTTATTAAACTTGTTACTGCATCTTGACCCAGTTTAAAATTCAATCACAAAAGGACAAGGATTGCTCTTTCTGCCGAGTGCCCCTCACAGAGGAAACTGAATCTGATCGGGCCTTTTAGACCCTGTAATTGAATTTCCTAAATAAATTTTAATCAGAGTCATTCTGCAAAACGTGATGCAATATTACAATTCATTACGAGGTACTGAGTGTAACAGCATCATCTCATGGTAATGTGTGTTCACAATGAGGTTGCCAAGCTTCACTGATTTTGGAAACAAATGTAACTTGTTTTAATTTCCCCTGGGATACATGGTTCAGTTGCAAAATCAGGTGTTGTCTAAGGCCAGATATGTTCTGGTCAAAGAGGGCAAAACTTCAATTCATACAGATTTGTGTTTATTAAAGTATGACTGTAGGTCATAACTACTGCTAGTACGTCTAACGCGAAGGAGGCCTTGGAGGAGGTGAAACCATCAGGAAAAGTCAGGTGAGAAGATACAGAAGAAATGAATTGGAATTTTTCCACTGCTAAAGGCAGCAAATCTGCTTGACCATTACTTCCTTGTTTTCCTCCTTCAGAACAAGATATCTTGGTGGCATTATCCTCCCTCTACCTTACAGAGGTTAAGAGAATGACCTATTAATGACAAGAAAAGTAAGGCTCCTGTTTCTCACCTTCCAGGGCCTTTAGACCTTAGCCTCTGGCCTTTCATAAGATTTCCTGACAATCTCACCGCCAATTCCTGTGATTCAAGGTAACACACGTATAAAGGTATTATCTAAACTCCAGAGAGGCCTTGAGTTCATATTGCTGCTGTATACCACTTCTTTATAACACACACTCATAGCTTTATCCTTCATCTTCCATTTACCTTCCACGTGCTCAAGAAGATAAGGAGAGATTTTAAAATTAGGCATTTATTTCTCTGAGACCCTCACTGCTCTGGACTGGGTTCCTCAAAATCCCTCAGTCCCCAGCTGGAATCAGGTGTGAGCTGTTCACAGGTGTAGGCAGGGGTGAGGAAACAGTCTTAATCCCCTGTGCAAAGAAGCTCTGGCATGAGTTTGAACTTCCTAACAGTGAAGGAAAGAACGAGGGCAATGCAGGAACTTGAGAGCTGCTCTGTGAGAGTAAGGCAGGCTGCCTGGGTGGCTTTGCTCCAGCGGTACCTGACCCGGTGAAGGTTGCTTCCCTCTAGCAGCAGTCACATCGCTCCCCTGAGATACATGGTTAAATTGCAAAAGGAAGCATTGTCTAAGGTGAGATGTGTTCCAGTAAAACGAGGGCGTGGACCTTGAACACCACTACATTATCACTAGTAATTATTGAATCACTACCAAGGCTTAACAACCTGTGTTTTGGCTCCTTTCAGCTAATCTGGCTATTCTCCCAGATAGTGCCCAAGCATGGCTCAGGGATTAGTATGGGCCAGGGAACACTTTCAGCAGCAATTCTGATAAAGCCACCTGCTCTCCAGGGCTAGGAAAGATTACCGGTATGAAAATGCATGTATTGTACGATTTGGCTTCAGGGCTGGAGAATGCTCCTGGCCCGTTACTAGTACAGACACAGCCTAAATGGCTCCGTTATGGCTCTGGCTGTTGTCTTCTCCCAGTTATGTCCCCTAAGTAGAAGTTAGAGATACCTGCTTGTCATTAGACAGAATTTCACACAATGTTTAGATGCAGTGTTATTATTATTATTATTATTGTTTTCTACTGGAGTTCACTAAGTTCCTCCTCTGTAGTCCCAAAGACTGTCAAACTCTTTATCATGCAAGAAGTTTGGATTTGTAGTGGTAAATGTGCCCTTTACAGTTACTTCATTAAGAACTAGATATTGATTCTACATCAGTTCTATATCTATGGCAATTTAAAGCTGTAATTTAAACTTAAATAGGCTCTTCTGTCAAACCCGTGTGCACTGATGAGTCTTGAGCCATTTTTCTTTCTAGTTACTGGACTGTGCTTCAGCCATGGGGTTTCTGATGCATGGGGAGTAGTGTGCAGTTAGAATGACTTTCTAAAACAGTAATGCATCTTGAAGTCCAGTGAGAATATTAGTCTATTTTTCAACCCTCTTTCACAGGGGAATTTGGCATCCAGCATGTTTTGAAAATCTGCTTGCCTCTGCCTGCAACAGATGCCAAATAACTTTTCTTTGACTTCTAAACAGTGTGGATACCATAAGAATGGTTTCCTCTCCACACTACAATTAGAAGGGCTAGGTTAGATTTTTGATTCTGTCCCAGTATGGGCCAATTTTACAGAGGCTTTCACTACCAAGCAGATTTTATTTTGGTGTAACATTTCTATGCAATAAAAACGTTAGTATAGGCGCTATCTGAGTGGTGAAAAATGTCTTCTCTTGGTTTGTTTATTTCACTCAGAAACCCAGCACAGAGTGTTCCAGCAAGTGTGCTTTTTTTGCTGCTATAAACTACATCCACACAGTAAGGGTAAACATTGCATAGCAAGCCTAAGTCTGAAGGGGTTTGATGACTTGGTATTCTAAGGTTGAGCAAGAGATGACAGAATATTTTTTATTATATCATCTTGGAGGATTTTCACAATTAAGCTAAGACAGATCAGGTGTAAAGCTACAAAAATATTTAACTATTAGAATTTTAGGTTTTTTTTCCTACTTCAGATTGTGCTTCAGTTACTGCCCAAGAAAGTATCTTACTCTGACACAGCTTATGTCAACTAACTAAATTGCACTCTGTGAATAAAATATTAATTCTACACTTTTGAGATCTAAACAAAATATTGATAAACTTCTGTTGTATAGGTCAAACACCTAATCAAGAGAAGCTTTATAATCAAGTTAGTTGAGCTGTCTTGCTCATGATTAATGCACACATTATCTCCAAGGCAAATACACCACTGCAGATACAATTCATGAAATACCGACTGTGTGATTCTAATTAAGATACAGGTTGTTGCATTAAGCTGATTAAGCTATGTTAAGGAATATCTCCTTCCAAACAGCTAAAGAAATTATATTCCCTAAAAACTTCCTCAATAAAAATGGATTCTGTTTCAGCTGTTGAATTTGCCTGTGAGAAGATAAAATGCAATAACCCAAGAATAATGTTTGATTGATATTCCTCACTATTTGTGCCTCTCTGCAGTACAAAGAGGCTCCCAAACCTTTTTAATTTTCACATATAGGGGACATATATAGAGCCAGTCCGAGCAGTAAAATTACCAGGAATACATGTCACTCAAGAAAATAAAATTATGAAAGTTCCTTCAGACGAGGTGTCAAATAAAAATTCTTACCTCAATCACAGATGGATGGAACCTTCCCATCTGTTAGTTACTTAAGGCCTCCAACTTCTGCAGTGTCAGTCCTTTAAGCATATTAGCATGTCTGTGGTATATTACAAGTCAGACAGAGATCTGTTCTGGGTTTGGGTTTACACAACATTTTGCGCATAAACATCCCATTGGGACTTTTCCTCCATTTAAGTGTGTGTGTACACACATGAGACAGTGAAAGATCAAAACCTACCAAAGCAGCAGGACCAGACTGAGATCTTAGTTGGCTCATGGGAATACTGAAACAGGAAACTAATTGAAAACTCTAGGTCTTCTGAGGAATACCTCTGAACTTGAATTTTCTCATGTTGTGCAGACTGGTGTGGCAGAGTAGGTAATTCATACAGGGTATAGACTTCTAGCTTTCAGAAATTATTTAACAACCATATAATTCTGCACCAGTCATTATATCAGAAAATAAAAAAAAGATATTTCCCTTTCAAATTAAAAACTGCATGGTACACATACACTGGTTGTTTTTACTTACAGCCCCCAAATGCTGACAGCTGTATTTGTAGTACAGACAAAATGCATTTACTAAAACAAAGCCTCCTTAAGTGTGGCTTATGTAGCACTGGTGGCTTATAAACTACTTCCAAATGACATGTGCAGGCAACTCTGCCTACAGGGAGATACACAGCTGACCTGCAGAATAAGCATCCTAAATCCGCTGCTGTTGGCAATTAGTTACTACCAGTCTGAAGGCACTCACCTGGTGACTTACTCAAGTTTCTATGTGTAGGCACTAATTGTTCCTGTTAATGGGGATTGATCTGACCTATGGAGAGCAGGATTATCATCCAACTCATTTAGTCTGCCTTAGATTCTATAAAGCAACAGTACAAATAACTTAAATACACATAGCTTTCTGTTTAATGAAGTATGACTACAGCTCATAACTACTACAAAGCCTACTTAGTGTTAGGCATACTGGTAGGTGAAACCATCAGGAACAGTCAGGTGAGAAGATACAGAAGAAATGAATTGGGATTTTTCCACTGCTAAAGGAAGCAAATCTGCTTGACCATAGGTAACCACTACATACTTGTTTTCCTCTTTTCCTCTAACTTGGTAGTATTATCCTCCCTCTACCACACAGACATTAAGAGCATGACCTATTAATGACAAGAAAAGTAAGGCTCCTGTTTCGCACCTCCCAGGGCCTTTAGACCTTAGCCTCTGGCCTTTCATAAGATTTCCTGACAATCTCACCGCCAATTCCTGTGATTCAAGGTAACACACGTATAAAGGTATTATCTAAACTCCAGAGAGGCCTTGAGTTCATATTACTGCTGTATACCACTTCTTTATAACACACACTCATAGCTTTATCCTTCATCTTCCATTTACCTTCCACGTGCTCAAGAAGATAAGGAGAGATTTTAAAATTAGGCATTTATTTCTCTGAGACCCTCACTGCTCTGGACTGGGTTCCTCAAAATCCCTCAGTCCCCAGCTGGAATCAGGTGTGAGCTGTTCACAGGTGTAGGCAGGGGTGAGGAAACAGTCTTAATCCCCTGTGCAAAGAAACTCTGGCATGAGTTTGAACTTCCTAACAGTGAAGGAAAGAACGAGGGCAATGCAGGGGCCTGAGAGCTGCTCTGTGAGAGTAAGGCAGGCTGCCTGGGTGGCTTTGCTCCGGCGGTACATGACCTAGCGAGGGTTGCTTCCCTCCAGCAGCAGTGTCATTCCTCCTAGCTCCTCACAAAACCCAGTTCAGGAAACTTTTCAGCGCAGCACCAGGTGGTTAAGAGCACGCTCACACCCCTAACGGGACCGCAGGACAGCAGTGCCCGACCACCCCTTGCCCCTGCCCGGCCATGCCGACCCCCCTCAGCCCCGGTCCCCCCCCGCCGCCATTTTGTGAGCGCCGCGGGGAGCGGCCCGGGCCATGGCGAGGAGCCGGGCGCTGCGGAGCGGCTGCCTGCAGCTCGGCGCGCTGCCCTGGGCGGCGTGCTGGTCAGGTGGGAAGCCGCAGCCCTTCTCCTCCTCCTCCTCCTCCTCTTGGAGAGTCGCGGAGCCGCCGCCGAGGGGGTGGAGCGGCACCATGGAGGAGAAGGAGGAGGAGGACGGGGCTCCTCAGGGGCAGCAGCACGGGAGGTGAGCGCCGCGCTCCTGAGGGCAGGGGGGGAGCCGGGACTCCTGTGGTCGTGTGGGGGAAGCACCTGCCCGACCCCACCTGCTCCCGGGAGGGCTGAAATTACGGTACCGGGGGAGGGAAAAGTTAAGGGGTCCCCGGCCATCGGAGCCTGCCTCAGCCCCGGCTCGGTGGCGCGGGAGCTCCCTGAGGGGATGCTGAGGGCAGCGGCACCCCCAGCGCCTGCCCTCCGCCGGCGCTGAGGAAAGGGAGGCTGGAAGGAGAAAACCCCACTTTTATTGGGATAAAAGCGGTGGTGCTGTAGTTTCCCCTAAGGGGCCGGTGGGATATGCTGCAGCGGCGCGTTATATAATGGAGCAGGGCGCTCCGCGGGGCGGGCGGCTCGGGAGCCCTGTGCTCGCTACGGGAGGTAGGGGCAGGTGGTGCTGGCCAGGGTTTTTCATCCATTGCACGGTGTAAATGTGAAGTGGAAGGTATTAACGAAGTAACTTGGTGTAATTAGTTCAGCTATAATCTCAGTGATCGGCAATTATCTCTAGTAAGGATTTAGGGGAAGCATTTGTTGCACGTCTTGACTTCGTGCAGTAATGTTTGTGTTAAGCCTCAGTGGAAATGTTTTTTCCAGTGATGATCGTGATTTTTTTTCCATTTGCAAGTTTTCAGGTTTTCTTCTAAAGGAAAGTAGTTTGTACTTGTGTCTTCCTGTTTTATTTTTCAAGCTACACTGACCAAAGCAACATCAAAAATCTAAGATAAAAGGGAAATAAGTAGTAGCTATTGCTTCTATTTTTGGCAGAAGACTCGTGAAAATGGTTGTATATTTTTCTTTAATTTGTAGTAGCTATTCTCTCAGTTAATAAAGCCTGATTCATTTTGCTAATTAAATTCTGAAAAAAAAAAAAAAAAACAAAACAAGCATTAATAATATATATATATATATAAAAACACTACTTACTACTTCAAAAATTACTTCAAGGGTTCCTGCAGTAATGCCTGAAATGGTCTGAAATTGAAATATCTATTATAAAAAGGTAATGGGAACTTTGAATGCCTAAAGACTGGGAAGCCTGGTCTGGTTTCTGCAGTGTGATGGAGAGGATTGCCCAGGAGAGGAGGAAGGGATGGAAGGGAAACTGCTGAAATACAAGTGCCGGCTAATTGGGCTTCAGCTTAGCCCAGATCAAAAGAGACCTGTGCCCTGTTTAAAAGGAAGCGTTCCAATATTATTGTTTTCTTCCTTAGTATAGACTAAGTAGATCGGAGGGATTACCTCAGCAGAAAAATAGTATTTTGTCGGTCTTTCAAGCCCGAGGTTGAACTAGATCTGCTAATTCTCAAACCAGAAATAGCTTTTAAATTCTGTTCTGCAAAGAGGAAAGCGATTGTTTTATCTGTGGTGATGAAAATGCTAATGCTGCTGTATTAATTAGTGCCTTTATGTATAACACCTGCTGTGAGTTTTTTTCTTTTGGTCACATCTGTAAATCCATTCGTGATTTCAATTTAATTTTTCACTCAACTGCTGTACCTTTGTAGCTTGCGGCACGTTGGCTAGGGCTGTAATCAGGGGTCCTCTTTCCAATATGCTCAGAGCTGGGCCATGGTAAATCACTTGGTCATCTTGCCTCTAAGCACAGCTAGAGGCTTTGAATAACAAGGATTTCTCTGTAAAGCAGATGTTGTACTTGGTTTGGAATTAATGATCACATTATTTACCGTCTGCATGTAATTGGCAGCTATGTAAAGAAGGTACAACATAGGTTTGAATAGCATGAGACTGCACCCAAACAGATCCATCCTACAAAGCTGTTCAGCAAAGAGAATTGGACGTTACCAAGTGACACCATGAAAACACTTGGCTGCAGTCGTGTACCCTATTGTGAAAAATAAGGTTTGTGTGGTGGTGTGCAAGCAAAAAGTCAGCTGGTAAGGGAGAAGGCTGTGGATGCGTATCAAGAGATTTGTTTTGTGTAGGATCTGTTATCGCAGTTGTAGCTGGGGGTGCTATCTGCTGAGTAAGCTTTATCATAATATTTTATTTTTTTATTGCTTAGAATGTTTGGAAATAACTTCAATTGTTTAGTGTGAAGTCTCCCATGCTGTGGCCTGGTTTTTGAGGGAAGGTTTCATTGAGGTTCAGCTGTTCCTGATAACTTGTTATTGCCACAATAACAAGTTGTTTGTGTGTATGTATTTAGGTGTTTTTAAATTAAACATTTTGTCTCCTGGAAACACCTACGTACTTAGGATGGTGCCTTGAAAATTAGTAGATGGCTCACATTTATGTTGGAAAGATGCCTTGACTCCTTCATAAGGGGAAAACAAATGAACAAACAACTTCAACTCTCTTGCTGTTGACTAACAACTAAAGCACTTTGCATTTCATTGAGAGTACGTGGAGAAGCATCATAACCTGTACTTGTGGGGATGGAGTAAAAGGCTGGTCATGGATAGGAAAAGGAGTTGTCAGGAAAAATGCTGATGTGTTGTGATGGTTCTAATTTCCTTCTGTGTTTGTGTTCTGCTGTGTCTGGTGTTCCACCACTTGTAATTTCCTTTGATGGCTGTGCTCCAGTTGAAGAACTTACAGGGTGCTGTATGACAGCTTTCTGTCTTTCTAGCATGAAGTTTTGAGGATTCACACATTATATTTGGGAAGGCTGATCGCCTCGTAGCTTAACTCATGTGCAAGATGGTCTTTGAACAGTCACGTTCAAGGAAAAACTATTTTTTTTCAGTAAGGAAAAACTTGAATTTCCTTATATTAAATGATGTGGAAATGTTTTATTTGGATTTCAATACGTTTGAGGTCGAATGTTACAGTTCTGTAAAAAGCCGTATGTCTGGGGGGAATGTGTGTGTATATATACACAGAGAAAGAATGTTATTTGGACAAGCAAAAATTAAGCACATGTTGAAAACTAAGTGTGAAAGACAGAAAAAAATAACTTAGGGAAATATTTTTATATTGCAAAGAAATCACATTGGGTCCCATGTGTTTGGACTTTGAACTGAAGAGAGGGAATTAAGTAGAGGAGCACTTAAATATGCATATAAACAAAAAATGTGTGACTATTAACTTAAAAATAAAGACTAGTTTAATGCTTGGGCGTTGCTGCGCTTCCTGAATAACTGAAGCTTTGTGGGATTTTAAAGGATTATTTGTAGTGTGAGTCTAGAGAAAGTTTGCATTGCAGCTTGTTCCTTTCTGGCTTGGAGAGAAAAAGAAAATTAAAAGCCTTAGTAAATGGGTTAGAGATAGCAACTGTGGAGTTACAGACATAAAAATGCCAGAGCTGGATATATATGAACTGCTTTGGATCCTGCTTTGCCACGTGGATCCTATGGGTGAAGGTTTTGATGGGACTTCTGGGCACTTTTGTAAGAACAGCTCTTACTCTGTGGCCGTGTGCCATGAACAAAGTCAGATTTCTGCCACTGCATGTTCGTGTGGAGCCTTCCTCTCAGTGAGCGTGGTAGGGGAGTGTCACTTATCCTTAGTCCTGTCTAATTGACAGAAGATGTTAGGCAGGAGACCTCTACCCTCAAGCCAGAGTGTAAGCTTGTTGTATTTTAAAACTTCATTTTAGTTAAGAAAAACCTGTGCTAACAGCTTTAGCATCAGAAAATAGCTTGAAGTGCTAAAACTAAGACGCTCAGCCTGTTAACACGTGAGGGTGGCTGAAGCGTGCTTATAAATGCTGAACCTCAACATTTGATTGTTTCTTCTAACAGTAAGCCCCGTCCTGGCAGGGTTTGTGTCTATGATTAACTCTATTCACGTCAGGAGAGCAACTAAAACTAATGAACTGCTCATCTGCATGAGCAGCTCTTAGAGCAGGGCTGGTGCCAGGGCGCTGCCGCTGGGGTCCTGGTGCCGGAGCTGGATGGCTCCAGCTGTGCCCTTGCTCCTTTAGGGGAGCTTTTCTGGAATCCCTTGCGAGTGCGAGGGGCCATCCATGGAGATTATCCTTGCTGTCTGAATCCAAGGGTTATCAGTGCTCAGCTGTGTGCATGGGCTAGCTTCTGGTATTTTTTTTGTTGACTTTAGAAATTGTCTGCATTTGAGTCACGATGCAGTAATTGTCCCGTGTGCCACAGCATGTCTGCAATGCACAAACCTCATTTCCGTATGTGGTCAGCTGGAGTCCTGCGTAGCAGAGCAGGTAAGAAAACTTTAAATCCCAGCTCCAGAAGTGTTTCCCAGCGTTCCTCCCTATGCATTAAGTGGCTGTATGAGATTGGTTGTGTAGAGGGAGGACAGTAAAGTGCTCTTATGTTCTGGTGTAGGGCAAGTGGACTCCTGCTTTCCTTCTGCGACTGCCTCCAGAATAGCACAGCGATACACCCACCGCTCTTGTGCTTAACCATAATGATAGACCAGGCTGCGCTTTTAAATGCGAGGGCCGTGTGCCAGATTTTGGAAACCTGGATGCAAGCCTGCAGTGAAAGATGAGGCTAGAGAAGGAAACAACTTGCTTTAATGGGTATGTAAAGGTACGGGCACTGGATGCTGGGTCTGTCAGCTCTGTTAGTACGCGTGGCCCCTGTAGACAGTGACTGTCGTGTAGTGCCACAAGCTAAGCAGAATATGCGTGTAGCTCAAGTCTTCTGTACTACTAAATGCAAGTCCCCAGCATGTTGGGGCTTTAAAG